TTTCTCCCTTCCTTCCTTCTTTCCTTCTATTTCCTTCCTCCTTTCCTTCCTCCCTTCCTTCCTTCCTCCCTTCTCTCCTTCTTTCCTTCCTTCCTCCCTTCTTTCCTTCCATCCCTCCCTTCCTTCTTTCCTTTCATCTTTCCTTCCTTCCTTCTTTCCTTCCATCTCCTTTCTTCCTTCCTCCCTCCCTCCCTTCCTTCCTTCCTTCTTTCTTTCCATCTCCTTCCTTCCTTCCTTCCTATCTCCTTCCTTCCTTTCTTCTGTCTTTTCTTCCTTCCTTTCTTCTTTCCTACCTTCCTCCTTTCTCCCTTCCTTCCTTCCTCCCTCCCTTCCTTCCTCCCTTCCCTCCTTCTTTCCTTCCTTCCTTCTTTCCTTCCATTTCCTTCCTTCCTTCCTCCCTTCCTTCCTTCCTCCCTTCCCTCCTTCTTTCCTTCCTCCCTTCTTTCCTTCCATCCCTTCCCTCCTTCTTTCCTTCCATCCCCTCACTTCCTTCTTTCCTTCCTTCCTCCCTTCCTTCTTTCCTTCCATCTCCTTCCTTTCATCTTTCCTTCCTTCCTTCTTTCCTTCCATATCCCCCCTTCCTTCCTTCCTCCCTTCCTTCCTTCTTTCTTTCCATCTCCTTCCTTCCTTCCCTCCCTCCTTCCCTTGCTCCCTCCCTCCCTCTCTCTCTCTTCTCTCTCTCTTTCTTTCTTTCTTTGTCTCTTTCTTTCTTCCTTTCTTTTCTTTATTTCTTCAGGATCATTTCCTTCTTGGGCCCTGGATGGCAGCCCATGATGGGGACACAAGTATTGCCTTATAAATCAGAGTTCTGCTAGGCCTCTTGGTCTATTTCTTGTTTTTCTTCTGGAGCAAGACCTAGTGTCCCTCTGCTTTAACACATCTTTCATATTCTATTAAGTACATGTGAATTAATCATTGGAAGAGATATTCACTCCCTTGCATGCATGGGCACACAGACACACACACACACACACACACACACACTGTTCTTACAATTAAAAAATAAACTTTGTTTTCTATTTGCACTGTCTTTTCACTTCTTCTTTCTTCCCTGTCCCCCATCTTTGCTTTCTCTTCTTTTGTCTGCTCCCTCTTTCCCTAAAATCCTCATTACATTTAAGAATTGACTCACACTCAAATTTAATCAGATTAGACTCTCACCTGCTGCATATAAACATTTACAGGAACGAGTAGCACTGTTATCATAATCTCATATATTGCTTCTGTTGCTGGTGTAGGTATAAGATACTTGCTAATTTTTGGTCTCTTGAAATCTTGGAATTGCTTGAAAATAATCCTGAAACCTTGGTTTGGAGAATTAGACTCCCACATCCAATAAAGCGTATATTTTGTCAGGTGTAAACCTAGTCTGACAGCAAACAAAACCAAACATTTAGTTCAGGATATAAAGAAAAAGACACAGATTTGATGTTTTATATAAGCATATATTATACAACAAACGACAGATCTAAAATCCATTTCATATAGAAATGAATGATATTAGAACAATTAACAATTTGAGGCTGGGCGCACTGGCTCACACCTGTAATCCTAGCACTCTGGGAGGCCAAGGTGGGCAGATCACTTGAGGTCAGCAGTTCGAGACCAGCCTGGCCAACATGGTGAAACCCCATCTCTACTAAAAATACAAAAATTAGCTGTGCATAGCGGCAGGCTCCTGTAATCCCAGCTACTTGGGAGGCTGAGGCAGAGGAATCCCTTGAACCCAGGAGGCAGAGATTGTGGTGAGCTGAGATCACACCACCGCACTCTAGCCTAGGTGACAGAGCAAGACTCCGTCCCAAAAAACAAAAAAGTACATTTGAAAAAATAATTGGAGCCTTCTGTAACACTATATACTAAAATTAATTCCAGATGCACTGCAAAGTTAAATGCAAATTTGAAAACCAAAATATAAATATGTAAGAACGTTTAAGTGATACATAATCTGGAGATGGAGAAGGAATAAGTGTTCATCAAAGATATAAATCATAAAAGAATATTCTAAGGGATTGCATATAGAGATATTAAATGCCAAAAATGATCACAAGGTTGAAAGGCAAACTAAAAATGAGTAGAAATTTACAACATAGATAACTGACTATGTTTAAAGTACTTCAAATATAAATAGATCTCCTAAGTCTAAAAGGAAGAAAAAATCCCAGTGGAAAATCTGTCAAAGTATGTTCTCAGACAGTTTGCAAGAGAAAAGATACTAATAATCAAAAAATCTAAGAAAACATCTTTGTCTCATTAAAAAGTATAAATGAGGAAAAAAAGTATAAATGAGGTACCATTGTTACTTATCAAATTAGCAAAGCTTCTTTCGTTTTCTTTTCTTCTTGTTGTTAGTGAGGTTGTAGTGAAGTTAGGACACTCCCATAGTCCCCATAGGAGTACAAAATGACTTGACTTATCTTTACTGAAGGAAAGAAAATTAAGTTGACAATTAAAAGGGATTAAATAGATATTGAAGCATAATGAGATACTATGTAGCCATGGGAAATGAGAGTTGACATATGCACACCCACACAAAAAGTAGGAACATGTTGAAAAAAATGAAAAAGCAAGGCATAAATAGTATAGAAACATGGTCTCATTTTTGCATACAACATATTTGCTTATTTCTATTTCTCAAACATACCTTTTTCTCAGAAGTTCCTGGAATGTTGGTGAAAGTGTATTCCCGATCTACTCCAGGAATACTAGACTATATAGCCTCCAGGAAGGGGACCAGGGAAATTTGTGTTTATCAAGCCCCCTGGGGGTGGTGGGGTTATATCAGGTAAATTGAGGAAATCCTGATCAAATCTAATGTAATCTCTTTCTTAAATTTATATCAAAACTGAGATCCAGCATGCCTCTCAAAAGCAATAGCTATTTAGTAGCAGAATGGAATCTAGAAGTACACATGTCCGATTCCAGATGAGCAATCCCTCTTTAAAACCCCAAGCGTATTCACTAATATTCTTAAATGTAACTCTCAGCAACTTCCTAATCCCTTTGTAGACAGATGACAGAGCTTCGTAACACTATTGTTGCACATTTGGTGATGACCTTTCTTTGTTGATAGCAAATGGAAAGTTTTCCATTTTCACCGTTCCCTAGCAATGTGACATTTTCAAACAGTAGCTTAAAACTCTTTAAATAGAAAAGATCCATTTCTACTCTATCGTGACTCAGTAACAGCCATAGGATTCTTCTCAAACTTTCCTAAAAATGTCATCTTTGGGCTGGACTCAAGAGGAACATTTCAGCCAAGGAGACACATTTTCCACTCTGTCAAGAATGAGCGAGCATGGGGTTGGAACATAAAGTGTTTTGCAATCCTCGGAAAAGCAATACTTCTCACCAAAACCATGGCAACGACTCCATGTGATGCCATCAGAGTCTGGGATCATTCAGGAGCCTCATTATAATTGGAGACTTGGTTGGGGTCATCACCTACGTTGGTCAGAACAGTCACCCAGCTCCGTGTTGGCTCAAGAAGGAGAACGGTACCCTACCTGACTGTTGCCATGGAGACACTGTGGGCTGTGATTCTGAGCTGAGCATCGCTTATGTTGAGTTACTAGGGGGCAGGTAGCACGAAACGTGCCTCCTGTTCTAATGGCTTCTGATTCTTCATTTAAAAAGACATGCCCCCCACCCTCACACCAAATGGGAGAAATACATGAAAACACAAGGTATAACATGGCTAAAATTACTGTTTTCTCATCCAAATATTAATAGTTCCATTTGGAACTTACACTCATGAGGTAAAAGTTTAGAGTCCAAAGTCATGGTTGGAAATTTGCTTGCCTCAGTTTATAACTTTATGGCCTTGGATGAGCCCTTATATCCTAGGAGGTATGATCAGGAGATAATAATACACACTCCTCAAGGATTTTTGGGAGATTTCAATAGGTGATTTACAGAAAAACTTCTGTACCCAAGACTGGCACTTTTCAATTTGGGCAGTAATCCATCCATTTCAACTTTCTTATTGGGAATTATCAACACCAGAGAGACAGGGAAAACGAATAAAAGAAAGGAGTAGAAGATCAAATAATTTATCTGTAATGAGTGAATGACTCAACTTCTGTTCACCCATTTTCTGCCTTTCCATCTCACTTGACATGCTGTGTTACTCCTGTGCCTTCAGTTTTCTCTTCATGTAAATGGGATAACCTCTTCTAAGGGACCATCACTCCTGTGCACAGCCAATGTTTAAGGCAGTAATGACTTTCTAAAAGATGGCCGGGAGCCGTGGCTCACACCTGTAATCCCAGGACTTTGGTAGACCGAGGCAGCGGATCACCAGAGGTCGGGAGTTTGAGACCAGCCTGACCAAGATGGTGAAACCCCGTCTCTACTAAAAATACAAAAATTAGCCAGGCATGGTGGCACGCACCTGTAATTCCACCTACTCAGGAGGCTGAGGCAGGAAAATCACTTGAGCCGGGAGGCAGAGGTTGCAGTGAGCCGAGATCATGACATTGCACTCCAGTCTGGGCAACAGAGTAAGATTCCCTCCATCTAAAAAAAAAAAGTAAATAAATAAAAATAAAAATAATTTTTAAAAAAGGTACAAGCCTGCATTCCCATTGCAACCTAAAGCTCCCTTTTCTTCTTCAGCTTCTGTAATGGGAAAACAGGTGGGCTTTCTCATCATTATCAATACAAAGCATAAAGGTCTTTGATAACCTTGTAGAGTTTAGAGAGTGGTAAACTCATTAAGGCCATCCCAATAACCCTATGAAATTGTTAACTATTATTTGTTGTTAATATTGAGTTATTGCTGTATACAAATAGGAAGGATCTTGGACACTAAGGGTTATGAAGCTTGGCAGAGTCAGAGCTATGTTTTCCATTCCCAATGTTCTTGCCCCATCATGTTGCCTCTCCTTGGCCTCAAGAAAGGCCTGCCCACCAGCAGCAGGCATGTGGCAGAGGTTACCCTCTAAGTAATAAGCAAAATGTCGCAACGCCCTTCAATCCTGATATTTCCCTCCTCTTCCACCTGAAACTCTAAAGAGACCTGTACAGCTGCACCTGGTTCTTCTTCTCCCTGGGGACCTCTGCTTTCTCTCCCAGGCACAGGCGAGTGAACAGAACTCTGCCAAGCTTCCTCAATGTCCAGGAGCCCTGGCCTTCCTATCTGTACCTACCAATAATCTCAATATCAACAACAAATAATGTCACAGATTTATTGGGAAGGCGCTAATGAGTTTATCACTTTCTAAACTCTACACTCTCTGTTCGCAGTCCCAGTGCTATGCAGAGATAGTTTAGCTCCCAGTCTTGAACTGGAACCTAGTCCCAGCCCCGAGCTGCAAGCAGGGAATATAGTCCTGGTTCTCCACTCTACCTGACCCACAAGTTTCTATGAATTTTTAAATAATCATTAAACAGCAGGCTGCTTCTCCAAACTGAATAGGCTTCACATCTATTCTATGATCATAAAATATTAAGGGAACATATTTTCCCTTCTTTGGGGAGGTAGGTGCATAGGGTGGTGGTAGAAATTGCTACTGTTCCTGAAGTTTATTTTGGAGAAAAATCACAGGGTGGAATTGTCATGAAACATTTATGTTTTAAAAACCATATGGGCTGGGCATGGTGGCTCATGCCTGTAATCTTAGTGCTTTGGGAGGCTGAGGCGGGCAGATCACCTGAGGTCGGGAGTTCGAGACCAGCCTGACCAACATGGAGAAACCCCTTCTCTACTAACAATACAGAATTAGCTGGGTGTAGTGGTGCATGCCTGTAATCCCAGCTACTCAGGAGGCTGAGGCAGGAGAATTGCTTGAACCCGGAGGCGGAGGTTGCAGTGAGCCGAGATCGTGTCATTACACTCCAGCCTGGGCAACAAGAGTGAAACACCATCTCAAAAAAAAAAAAAAAAAAAAAAAAAAAAAAAAAAAAAAAAAAAACCCACATAAAATAAGGTGCTCCCTACCAGAAAATATTTATCATTATTCTAGAATAAAATAAATGGTGTAGCACTGGGACAAGAATATTCAAATGAGGAAATCAGAATCCAGAGCCCAGACCTCTGAGTAAAGAAGCAACTTACACACAAACCTATGACTCCCAGTTCTGATGACAATGGCCAAAAAATGCAAGAATAGAAGAAAATACTACTTTGATTCTGGAAGCTTAGAAAGACTGACACCCAAATGTTGGAACCATAAGAGAGATTTCTGCTGTTAATAAAACATATTGGGATGAAGTAGAAAAGACACCAAGAACTCACTTCCCTCAACCTTCCAAAGAAAAGAATGTGCTCCCCAAAAAGGTGAATGAAGAGAACACTCCAGGAATACCTGTCACTTAGAGGTGGGTAGAACGGGGAGTGGAAAGAAGGCATGGGCCAAAAAGCAGCCTTCTGCTCGGGCAGTATTTTTACCTATGATGGAGGAGGAGGAGGTTTGCCAAGCACTCTAGGACACAAGTGGGCATGGCAAGCTGAAAGCAGGGAAGGGAAGGGAGGCTCTGCTCAGCAAAGCACAGAAAGGCATCCAGGAAGGGGCCAGGCAAAAGCTGGAGGCGGCTGTGCCCAGAAAGCAAGGCAGCTTCACCAAGCATAAGGCCAGTGGGGCAAGGTTTCTGTGTCAAGTGTCAAGACCCTCCTCTCTGCAGTGGGAGACAGTCAGAGAGAGGGATGGGTTCATTCGTGCTCACCTCTAGTATCAAAGCTCAGCTGAACCTGGAGAAGAAGCCACCTAGGGATGAATTCCATTGCTAAGATCATCTGGGACTTGGCTCTCTGCCCACTCCCTTTAGAGTAAGACCCTGACCAGGGAGCCAGGCCCCTAGCTTCAGAGAAATGAAACATCACTGCAGCTTCCATGTGATAAGAGCAACAAGGCCAAGGGAAATGGGCAACCTGGTCATACTTTGGTAGTGGGAAAGATCAGGACAGCCTTTTAGGAGAGCTATTGTCATACGTACCAAAAGCCTTCAAATTTGGCATTTCCTGTGACCAAATCATTCCACTCCTAGGAGTGTTTCTTAACGTAATATCAAAAATGTGGCCAAAAATAAACTAGAAAGAATGCCCACTGTGATTGTTAATGTTAAAACTTAAAAAAATCTGAACATTCAATAGTGGCCAGAGGTTCAATGACTTATGAAATAACCAGGAAAGAAAGAAAGAGAGAGAGAGAGAGAGAGAGAGAGAGAGAGAGAGAGAGAGAGAGAAAGAAGAAAGAGAAAGAGAGAGAAAGAGAGGGAGGGAAGGAAAGGAAGGAAGGAAGGAAGGAAGGAAGGAAGGAAGGAAGGAAGGAGGGAAGAAAGAAAACAAATACTCTGCAGCTACTAAAATAACATCTTTTGATGGGTATTAAATGGCATTTTGCTATATTACTAATACAAACCAGCTAATGAAAGAAACCTTATAATGAGATCCCACACGAACATTTAAGAAAAAGAACCTAAACTTTATGAGTGAAATATTAACAAGAAGTATCTCTGGTTCAGAGATTATCTTAGTCTGTTCAGACTGCCATAATGAAATGCCATAAACTGGGTAAAGTATAAACCACAGCAGATTTATTTCTCACCATTCTAGAGGCTAGAAAGTTAAAAATAAATGTACAGGCAGGTTTGGTGCCTGATGAGGGCCCCTTTCCTAGTTCATAGAAGTCCCCCTCTCACTGCCTCCTGAGGTGGAAGGCGCCAGACAACTCTCTAAGGCCTCCTTTATAAGGGTACCAATCCCATGTATGAGGGCTCTGCCCGCATGACCTAGTCACTGCTCAAACAGCCCCCCTTTTTTTTTTTTTTTTTGAAATGGAGCTTTGCTCTATCACCCAGGCTAGAGTGAAGTGGCACCTCAGCTCACTGCAACCTCTGCCTCCGGGGTTCCAGCAATTCTCCTACCTCAGCCTCCTGGGAATATACATACATATATATAATATATATATATATTATATATGTATATATATTATATATATTATATATATGTATTATATAATATACATATATTATATATATTATATATGTATATATAATTATATTATAAATATATAATATCATATATATAATATATATTATATATTTTATATATATAATATCATATATATAATATATATAATATATTATATATAATATATATTATGTATATATAATATCAAATATATATTATATATTTATAATATATTATATATATATAATATATAATATTTGTACCACTATGCCTGGTTAATTTTTTTTTTTTTGAGACAGAGTTTTGCTCTTGTTACCCAGGCTGGAGTGCAATGGCGCGATCTCGGTTCACCGCAACCTCCGCCTCCTGGGTTCAGGCAATTCTCCTGCCTCAGCCTCCTGAGTAGCTGGGATTACAGGCACGTACCACCATGACCAGCTAATTTTTTTGTATTTTTAGTAGAGACGGGATTTCACCATGTTGACCAGGATGATCTCGATCTCTTGACCTCGTGATCCACCTGCCTCAGCCTCCCAAAATGCTGGGATTACAGGCGTGAGCCACCATGCCCGGCTAGTTAATTTTTGTATTTTTAGTACAGATGGGGTTTCACCATGTTGGCCAGGGTGGTCTTGAACTCCTCACCTCAAGTGATCCACCCTCCTCCACCTCCCAAAGTGCTGGGATTACAGGCATGAGGCACTGTACCCAGCCATCCCCACTTCTTGATACCTTGGGGATTCAGATTGCAACCTATAGCTTTTGGAAGGACACAAACGTGAAGACCACTGCAGACAAGTATGTTTTCTCCGGGAAGCTTTTCTATATTTTGCAATGTTTCTGCATTAAGTGTATATTATTTGTGCTTCCTACCCCTTTATCTCTTTGTGCTACATTCTAAGAGGACAGTTGAGCTCAATCTTCTAGAATTTTTACTTTGTGATTAGTATTAATACTAAAGATACTATTTTGGGAATTTTAATTTTTTTTTTTTTTTTGAGACAGGAGTCTTGCTCTGTCACCCAGGCTGGAGTGCAGTGGCACAATCTCGGCTCACTACAACCTCCACCTCCCAGGTTCAAATAGTTCTCCAATCCCAGCCTCCCAAGTACCTGGGATTACAGGCCCCCACCACCGTGCCTGGCTAATTGTTTTTGTTTTATTTTGTTTTGTTTTTTGTATTTTTAGTAGAGATGGGGTTTCACCAGCCACCTTGCCCGGCCTGGAATTTTAATTTTTTTAATTGTGGTACAATACACATAAAATGTGCCCTATTATCCATTTTAACTGTACAGTTCAGCAGCGTTAAGTACACTCACACTGTTGTATAACCATCACTAAGATCTTGCAAAGCTGAAAGTCTGTTTCCATTAAACTGTAACCCTCCCTTCTCTCTTCCCTCAGCCCCTGGAACCCCAGTTCTACTTTCTATCTCTATGAGTCTGACTCCTCTAGGTACCTTATATAAGCGTATTCATGTAGTGATTCTACCTTTGTAACTGGCTTATCTCACTCAGCATAACGTCTTCAAATTTCATCCATGTTGTAGCACCTCAGAATTTCCTTCCTTTTCAAGCTGAATTATATATGTGTGTGTGTGTTTGACAGAGTCTCTTTATGTCGCCGGGCTGAAGTGCAGTGGTGCAATCTCGGCTCACTGCAACCCCCACCTTCCAGGTTCAAGTGATTCTCCTGCCTCAGCGTCCTGAGTAGCTGGGACTACAGGTGCCCGCCACCATCCAGCTAATTTTTGTATTTTTTTTTTTTTTTTAGTAGAGACTGGATTTCCCCATGTTAGCCAGGCTGGCCTCGAACTCCTGACCTCAAACGATCCACCCACCTCGGCCTCCAAAAATGCTGGGATTGCAGGCATGAGCCACCTCGCCCGGCCATTTTATAAATATACCGCATTGTGTTTATCCACTAGTCCATCAATGGACACTTGTATCACTTCCCCCTTTTGGCTATTATGAATAGTGCTGCTATGAGGGTAAATGTACAAGTTTCTCTTTGTGTCACTACCTTCAATTCTTTTGTGTGTATACCCACAGGTGGCATTGATGGAACATACAGTAATTCTGTGTTTAATATTTTGGGGAGCTGCACCATTTCACATTCCCTTCAACAGTGCATGAGGGTTTTAATCTCTCCACATCCATGCCACCACCTGTTTCCTGTTTTATGGACAGTAGCCATCCCGATGGCTGTGACGTGGTTAATTTCTTATTTTTCTGTTGATGAATTCTGTTGGTTGTTTCTGAGAAATGCCTATTCCCTTTGTTCGCACTGTTACCTTAAGGGAATATTCTCTCCTTTGGTTAAGTTTGGAGTCTTCTTTTATGTTACTAATATCCCTCCCAGATTAGGTGATCCTTGATTGTACCCTAACATCGGGCCCTTGTGGATATCTGCTAGACAGTGCACAGGTGAGCAAGCTTGCAGAGAAAAGACACGTCACCGATACTGGTGTTTTCGTGAATTCAGGGATGGTAAGGGAGAGACAGGATGAGCCAGGAGCTAGTTTCAGATGATGAAGCAATCATGACCTTCTTGGGTCTCCAATCCAGCCTCTTTGGAGACACAGCGATGGGTCCTACAGATTGCAGACAATGTACAAAGGTACAGGATGTCATAGAGGTAGACCTCCCATCTCAGTACCCCCACTAACAACCTTGTTGGATTGAACCTTGGGTCTCCTCTGCTCCTTGGCATAGAGGGCTCTTGGCATAGCTTTCATTTCCTCATTTGCACATCTTGGAACCTAGTTTCTCAATCCAATCCCATACGCTTTGTGTGTTTCATAAATTACTTATGGTTTCAATTCACTGGGGAATCTCATTCTTCTTTTCCAGTATGGGTATACATTTTTAAAACGATCATTTCTGTTATTTATAGGAATTAGGTGTTTGCTCTGTTTGCCATCTTGAAACAGAAAACATTTAGTATTTTTACTGTGAAATAAAAATAGAATAGGAAGTATAAATTACTAATTAGAACTTAGCACCCAGAAACACATTGTGGCTTGTACTAGAACTTAAGTAAATGAAGAAGTTGACATTATAAGTCGGTAAGCAAAGGAGATTTTTTAATAAACGGTAGTTACATATAGTTTACCAACTATTTGGAATAAGTTAGCATTATAGCCTAGCCTCAAAGCATATACCAAATTCCACAGGCAGGGATGTCATAATCAAAGGCAAAGAATGTGAACACATAGGTTAGGTTCGGGAGGGACAGGCTGAATTGGAAAAGAGAGTTTGTGTGGGAAATAGTGCGTATATAGAAAAAGATCTTGAAGGCTGGAATAAGAAGCCACTGTGGGATGCTATACCAAGTAATCTTATGAAAATGAAGCTTAAGGAATTTGATCTGGTAATGCTGTGTAACGTGTATTGCAAGGAGAGGAACCCACCAACAAAAATAAGCAAAGAAAGATATGAGATGGTTTAGTCTAGATCTGAACTAATGATTCTTAACCTTTGTCTAAGTCTCATAGACTTTCTAAAATCTTCCTAAAGTCATAAGCCAGTCCATAGAAATATGCATTTACATATATGCAAGCAACATTTTTGCATACAGAGTCAGGGGTTGAACAGAGCCCTTGAAGACCTAGTTCTTGGTGGGGGAGAGAGAGGAATTTATTTTGTATTCAGGGATAATTGAATGTATCTCCTCAACTAGCACTTCACGGTCATGAGAATAGTAACTGTCCTATTCACCACTGTATGTCAACAGCAAGCGATGCTTTCACATAGTAGGCAATCTAGTATGTAACAAATGATTGAACGAATGTAATAAATTAATGCCTTGAATCTTTATAACTGAAAAATCTGCAAACAATTAAACAAAAAAAAAGAAGTATGGGAAATGAGTATACCAAGTAGTCCAGTGATTTCTCTATATCGAAGCAAAGAAATTTTGTCTTCTACCAGCCCCTCTTTCGTGTTATTCTTTCACTATTTGCAACGTAATTTTTCTCTCTGTTTTCTTCTTGTCTTACCTCTCCTCTGATATATATATATATATAAATTATATATATATATAAAAATTATATATATATATATATAAATTATATATATATATAAATTATATATATAATTTTTTTTTTTTGAGACAGGGTTCTCACTCTGTTGCCCAGGCTGGAGTGCAGTGCTGCGATCTCGGCTCATTGCAACCTCCACCTCCCAGGTTCAAACGATTCTCCTGCTTCAGCCTCCTGAGTAGCTGGGATTACAGGCATGCACCACCACGCCCAGCTAACTTTTGTATTTTTAGTAGAAACAGGGTTTTGCCATGTTGGCCAGGTGGTCTCAGACTCTGACCTCAGGTGATCCATCTGTCTTGGCCTCCCAAAGTGCTGGGATTACCGGCATGAGCCACCTCGCCCAGCCTTCTCTGATAAGATATCTTTTTTCCTTTAGAAATTCTGCTAAAACGTTTTGTGGTTACCTACTTAAAGATAATACCCCAAATCAAGTGTTCTAGCCCTTACCTCTCAGCCTTTCTCCAGCCCCATATCTCAGCTGTTTATTGGGCACCTTCTTTTTTATTCACCAGGACCTCAAAAATTCAGATTGTCTAAAATTAAGCTCATCATTTTTTCAGATTTCTTTGTCAACTTCATTATAACATAACTCTAATACATGTTTTCAGAACCCTAAATCTTTAAGCTTTTAAATTAAAGGAGCTTAAATCTGGAAGCCTTGACTTTTTTTTTTTTTTTTTTTTTTAGAATCTAATGTGTGCTATGGACCCATACCCAAGAAAAAAATACATATATGCACACATAGTTGTGCATATCAATTAGTTGTATTTCTTGTAGCATATCCAAAGATCCCAGACCAACAACCCCTTGAAAGATAGTAACATACGTTTCTCTTTTTTGTTGAGACGGAGTCTTGCTCTGTCACCCAGACTGGAGTGCAGTGGCGCCATCTTGGCTCACTGCAACCTCCGCCTCCCGGATTCAAGCCATTCTCCTGCCTCAGCCTCCCAAGTAGCTAGGATTACAGGTACGTGCCACCACACTTGGCTAATTTTTGTGTTTTTAGTAGAGACAGGGTTTCACTATGTTGGTCAGGCTGGTTTCGAACTCCTGACCCGTGATCTCCCTGCCTTGGCCTCCCAAAGTGCTGGGATTACAGGGGTAAGCCACTGCACCCATATTTCTATCCTCCTTCATGTCATCAAACTCTTCTAATTCTTTTTATTCAAAATATTTTTAACAGTTTCCTCTTTTGTTTCCATTTCCACTGCCTTTGTCCAGCTCAATCTGAGTCAAATGGCTTAATACCTAGAGAACTGAAAGAGTCTTCTAATTGGCTAACTCTAGCAATGGGAGATCTATAAACTTTTGTCTTCACTTGATTAAGATCTATGATATTGAAAGACAATATAAGTGAGAATTCTTATTTATAGTTGGTATAATGTATAAAATGTGTTATTTAATGGAAAACAGCTTGTTCCTATCACACTTGGATAAAAATTCACCAGTAAAATCACCTGGTCCTGAATATTTTTGTATGTGTGTGGGGGGACAGTCGTGGTGGTGATGTTTATGATAATCAATGCATGATTTAATAAACATTTTTATTCACATTTTCTGAATAACAATTTTGGTAAGCTTTAGTTTTCAATAAATGTGTCCACTTTAAGTTGTTAAATTTATTAGCACAAATTTGTTAATGTATTCTCTCATTATCTTTGATGTCTAGAATATAGAGTTTTAACACATTTTTTAGTCCTGTTATTGGTAAACTTTGTTTTCTATTCTTTTAATCAGTCACTTTGGGAGGCTAAGGCAGGTGGACCATTTGAGGTCAGGAGTTTGAGATCAACCTCATCAACATGGCGAAACCCTATCTCTACTAAAAATACAAACATTAGCCTGGCATGGTGGCACACACTTGTAATCCCAGCTACTTAGGAGGCAAAGACAGGAGAATCTCTTGAACTCAGGAGATGGAGGTTGTAGTGAGCAGAGATAGTGCCACTGTACTCTGGCCTGGTTGACAGAGTGAGACTCTGTCTCAAAATAAATAAATAAATAAATTTAATTTAATTTAATTAGTCTAATTAAGAGTTTGCCAGTTGTGTTGATCTTTGAAAATAATCAGCTTTTTGCATTGTTCTTTTTCTACTATTTGTCTGTTTTCTATTATAAAGCTTTCTACTTTAATCTTTATTATTTCTTGTTTCTACTTACTGTAAGCATACTTCTTGTCTATCTTCTTATGGTAGAATCTTAGATCATTGATTTTAAACTTTTCTCTTTTTCTAATATAACTCTAGGTTTCTAATATAACTCTAGGTTTCCCTCTAATCACTGCTTTAGCTGTGTCTCAGAAGTTGTAATATAGGTTATGGGAAATTGTGATATGAAATAGTTATACGTCGTATTTTTTATTACACAGTTTTAAATATTTTAATTACCCTGGTGATTTCTTTTTGAACTATGAATTATCTAGAAATATGTTGCCAAACATTTATTCATTAATTCCATATTCCTTTTGAGTTATAACTAATTCCAATGTCATCAGAAAACATACTCCGTATGAGATCAATTATTTCAAATTTATTTAAACTTACTCTGTGACTAGTATATATTGGTGAATGTACCATGTACACTTGAAAAGAATATTTATTCTTCAGTTGTTGAATATAGAGCCAAACAAATATTAATTATATCAAGGTTATGTCATTAATATTTTTTAAATCTAGTTCTATCAGATGTTGAGAAAGGAGTCTTAAAATCTCCTACTGTGATTTTGAAATTGTCTATTTATTCCTTTAATTCTGTCCATTTTTGCTTCATGTATTCTGAGGTTCTGTTCTTAAATGTGTACCCATTTATAATTGCTGCGTCTTCCTGATGAATTCTCCCTCTTATAATTATGAAATTTCCATTCTTTATCTCTGACAATACTCTGTGATTTGATGTCTATTTTATGTGACACTAAGATAGTTATTCCAGCTTTCTTGTGCTTGCTGTCTGTATGGTATATCTTCCTTCCATTTACTTACTTTCAACGAATCTGACACTTTATATATAGAGCATGTCTCCTGAAGATAACATATAATTGAATGTCGCTTTCATAAATTCTTTCTGAAAAACTTCTATTTGAGCATATGTTGTAATTATTGACGTGGTTTTAGTTATATTCTTTGTGTTTTTCTTATTAGTTACAATATAATTGTTAACTGTGACAGTCTACCTATGGTTCGTATTATACTACTGCATGTGAAGTATAGAAACTTGGCAGTCCTAAGAAGTCCTTTATATTGTCACTGTAATCTGTATTACCTCTATGTGCCTTAAGAACATCGAAAGACAATGTTACAATTTTTCTTTCTAAATTTGTATATGTAGTTCTATATGTTTAAGAAGAAAAATAAATATCTTTCATATTTATTAATAGAGTTACCATTGCTGACATTCTTTATTCATTCCTGAGTATCTGTGTTCTCTTCTGGTATCATTTCCCTTGAGCCTGAAGAAACTACTTAAGCATTTATTGCAAGAAATTATATTTTTTCTTTACCTGAAAATATCTTTATTTTACCTTCATTCCTGGAGGACATTTTCTATTCTGGGTTGTCAGATTTGGGGGGCGGGGTGTTTATTTGTTTCTCTTTTTTAGCTTTCATTGTTTCTGATGAGGCATCTGTGGCTATTTAAATCAACATTTTTCTTTATACAATGTGTTGTTTCTCCTCAACCTGTTTTTAAGATTTTTCTCTTTATCTTTGGCTCTCAGCCATTGGATTATTATGTATCTAAGTGTGTTTTTCTGTGAACATATTTAGTGTAGGATTTATTGAGCTTTTTGAATCTGTAAATTCTTTTTTTTCACCAATTTCAGGAAGATTTTGGCCATTATTTCTTCCTCTGCTCTACTTCTGGGACTCTAATTACCTAATATTAGACTTTTAGATATTGTCACACTAGTCCCTGAGACCTGCTCATTTTTCATCTTTTTTTCTCTCTCTTCTTCAGTTTGATCTATCTTCAAGTTTACTGACTCATTCCTTTGAAATTTTCTATTCAGTCCATTCAATAATTTTTATTCTAGATAATCTGTTAAGTTTTAATATTTCACTTTGATTTCTTCTTATGTGTTCTATCTTGCTACTAAGATTTTCTATTTTTTTTTGTCCATTACTTTTACTTTATTGAACCTAGTTGGAAATAACTATTTTAAAATATTTGTCTGATAATTTCAACATCTGATTCATCTCAAGGTTTGCATCTGTTCATTGTCTTTTCCATCTAGAATTGGTCGTATTTTCCTAGTTTTTTTGCGTTAGAGTATTTTAGATTGTATTCTGGACATTGTGAGCCTTACGTTATATAGACGCTGAGTTCTGTTACAGTCCTCTGGAAAACATGGTTTTTATTTTAGCAGATGATTAATCCAAGTGGATTCAGACTTTAAGCTCTCTTGTCAATGTATATAGAGAAAATGGAATATCCATGAGGATGAGTCTGAATTTCGAGATAGAATGTGTTTGGAGGAGGGGGCAATGGAAGGGAGAGCATTGTACATACTGCACTCAGAAGTTAATAATTCAGTGTTATTTAATTTTTACTATTACATGTATATGATACATATAATCTATTTGTGCTATAGATATATAATATTTGGAACATACATATATTTATTTGTAATACATAATCTGACTATTTTACAATGTTTTGATTTTTCTAAGAAAACCACAACTCCTGTAGTCCTTCTTTGAATTCCCAGAAGAATTCCAGATTCTCATAATACTACCACTTATCAAAATGTCATTACACATGCCAGACATTCTGCTAAGCAGTGTAAATAAATTTTTTTATCAAGCTTTATAGCAACACCACCAGGTAGGCATTGTTTTTATTTACAAATGAGGAAACAGGGGCTCAGAGAGGTTAAGCAACTTGCTCAGGGATACACAGCTATTAAAGGGCTAGAGATGAGACACGAACCTAGGTGGGACTCTGTCTCCCCTTTTGATATCACAGGTTGCCACCCAAGTGGAATTAGATGATATTCATCTTGCAAATGACAGAGTGAGGAGAGAGAGAGAGTGGCATTGCAAAAATAAGATTCACTTCAAAGAGGAGACAAGTATTCTAATTCTAGTTTGAGACAGACTTACTGCAAAACCTTGCAACCTTCTCAGCTTTTCTCTTTCTTCTTCCACTGTGTCTACAACAGAAATAAAAATGTACTTCACAATAATTTTCAGAACTGTTGTAGAAATAAAATGAGATGAGCTATGGATGTATAATGAAAATATAAATGATGGTAATGATATTTAGCCCAACTCACAAACTAACACTTCCTTTTCTAAGTTTTGCAGTTAAGACTTCAACAAAGAAGGACCCAGGAACAACTGGCTAACCAAGGCATAATACCACGTGAGTATCTGCATCTCTTAATTACTGATATATATGGGGCCACACCATTTGGGAGCTGGAAAGTGCCTCAGAGGCTGCTTAGTCTAAGCCAGTGCATTGGTCTCCCGTTGTCTTTCAAAGCAGAAATCCCAGACCTGGGATGCTTTGCCCTGACTGCTACCTACACACCTGCAAGGGGCTCTTTTTAATGATACTGGTTATGCCTAAAACTCCAATATAGTGGAATTGTTCTTAGGGTAAACAGAATTCATTATGGGCACCCCCGACTCATCTACTTTTAAAATTGGATATAATTAATATTCTTTCTGGAAGCATCAGTCACATCATCTTTTTCTCACCTCCTCAGTTTCAGTTTTGTTTGGGGTATTTGAGTCCACAAGTAATTGAATATTGTCAAGTATTTCCTCTCTAGAAGGTGGAGTGGCAATACCATTTTAGCATGAATAATATAATGTTGAATTACTGGCCACAATCTGGATAAAAGAAGAAGGATTATTGTATCTTTTAGAGGATTATATTTTAAATTTTCTACCAACCCAGCAATGAAAGCTAACTCTTGGTTATCTGTGGGACTAGAGGAAAGGGTACCCTGGATGAATAAGTCATGAGTGAAGCTGCTCTAGATAATACATTCAAACTTCCTCTCCAGCAAAATTTAAAAATCAAGATCTATAATGACTTGTGTAGAAATTCAGCTGTCTGCAAAATGCTACTGTGACTGCTACTTCAGAGTTCAGCGTACAAGAAGAGGAAGTTTGCCGCTGAAAAATTGTTGTGTAATTAGTTATACTGAAACCCTATGACCCATGGCTAAACGTTTAAAGTTTAATCTTTGTTTCAGAGCCAGAACAGAACTAAGAAGTTTTCGGGCCTTTTGTTTTGTAATTCAAAAGCAGTCCTTTGTTCATGGCTGCACTCTGCAAGTAGTAAACAGTAGGTGACCTTAAAGTGGGACAACTCTTTTGGAGGTTCGTGAAGTACAAAGGAAACAGCTCATCCCGCAATTTCAACGCAACGTTTACAACTATGCTGAGGAAGCAAAGGAACAAGGAGCAAGCCTATGTGTGGCCTGTTTCATCTTAGCCTCTCCTTGGAGGTGCTAAAGACAGGGAGAAACCAAAAGCCTGCAAATGTCAGGTCAGGTCCAGACAATTTCACCCAAAGCTGATAATCTATCCCTTCCCTGATGTTTTTTTCTCTTTAATTCTGGAAAGGCAAATGGAGCAGATGGGCCCACGACCTTTCCGTAAGCCCAAGTTGTACACATCTGATTTATAGTTTGACTCATGTGCTTAAATACTCTGGGCCTGGGTCTTGCAGCTGGCATTTGGCTAAGAATAAACATTTTTTGAGGGATACAGCGTTAAATCTGAAAATTAGTAAAAACACCTGAAGGTGGTAATTAACCCTATCCCACATTTTAACACCTATCATGTAAGTTATATAAATCAAATGTTCATTTGTGTAGTAGAGTCCGATGAAGATACAATATTTTGTTCTCTAGGAATTCTAGAATCAAGTAATATGCATATTAACAAAATAATGCTTAACAGACATTTTGCATCTTTAGTTCATTGCATCATTGAGATAATTTCTAGGAAAAAACCTACAAATCATGAAATAATGAAGCATTTTAAAAAGTACACACTATGATAAAGGTTTTCCCCAATCTGCAGCTACCTCCTCGCAACCAGGGTTTCCAAGAGTGTAGATTCTGCTGGCAAAAAGTGTCCAAGTCAGGCAGGTGCACACTGCAGGCCCTGCCTATACAGACCTTTTCCCTTAGCTCTCTCAGGAAGCTAGAGATAGGACGCATCTCTTCCCCTACCGATGGTCAGCCTCTTCAGCCCGATCAGAGATTAAACGTGCAATCTGTGTGCATTTCAGCAGAGCAGTATGTTTCCTGTGCCACCTAAGGGAACATGTCTAAATGCAAACGATTGGGAGAAGGAAAGAAGAAGCAAGGGGCTCAGGATCTTTTCAATTCAGTATAATTCAACAAATGTTATTATAACCCAGACTATATACAGGGGACTGTGCCAGGCACTTTAGGGAAGACAATAATAAGCAAGATGGTCCCTCAGAAAAAGTCAAGATATTTGGGGGGAAAGTTGATAAAAAGCACACCGAAGCATAATTCAGTGTGCAATTCATTACCTTTCACAAGAAGACTTTCTTATTTCTTCACTCCATTATTTAAATTTTTTTGAAACAGAAAGTAAAAGAAAAGGAGGAAGAATGGAGGCAAGGAAAGGTAGTAGTCCTCAGAGCCTACCTAATGCTGTGATTTTTCTAATTTTTTAATTGCTAAATCTTATACACTATGTATATGTGTGTGTGTGTATATATAGTGCATACACATATATATAGTGCATAAGATTTAACAATTGCATACATACACACATACACACATGTATATAGTACATATATACAGAGATAGAAAAAGGTGCCCTGGATTTTACACACACACACACACAGACACACACACAAACACACATGCACTGACTGAGGCAGTGTCAAATGTCTCTGCCCCATTTACTGGGCCTCTCCTTGTCCCTTCCAGAAGCCTCCTGATAATTCTCTCTACAGTGCTGGTTCTCCTCAGAATAGAGTTTGCAAAACCCTGACATATCCCAATCCCTGTTCATGAAACTGAGGTTGAAGAGACCTAAGAGATTTTTTCAGATGTCCTGAAGCCTAGATCCAAATGTGGTCCCATTTTCTACAGTTTTGATTTATGAGAATGCAAATGCATGCCAGATAAAATTATTCATAAAATCTCGCTTTGTTCATAAAATTAGAAATAGTCACAATCTTTTTAAACATGCCATAAATTGTCAAAACTCAAAGCTGATGGCTAACTGGACTGTACATTGTCCTTATCAAATAGCAATACTATTTTTAACTGGCCAACAGAAGCACCTGCCACCAATTAGCATGGAGTTTTACATTAGGTTAAATTTTCAGGGCTTGTCCACTCGATAACATGCAACCCCCTCCTATTGTGGAGGGCTGAGGCCGGAACTTGTGTCTCCTGATCTCTGCCTGGGCTCCTTTTCTCAAACGTTCAAAATGAATCACTTGGCCTTTAAAAACCCTTACTTATTTCGCATCATAAGGCATTTTATGGCCAAAAAAAATTAGAAAAATTAAAAAGTGTATAATGTGTGAAAATGCCAAAGATAAACCATTGATTTAAATGAAATGACATCATAATCTATGCTTTGCCATGATGAGCATTGAATGAAAGATTTCACTGACTTAGCTGTATGGCAGGTCTCACTTCAACTGCATTCCAAATTGATAATTAAATTATAAGGCTCCTCCCCCACTGACTCTAATGAGTCATGTGTAATTGTAGTAAAACTGATCCAAATGGATTGAAATCTTCTTCCTTCACTTTCCCTGGGCATGTATCCTGCAGATTTTGAGGTTGCTGCTGAGTAATAGACAGTCTTTAGCAACCAGCAACAAATTCTTTTTTATAATCGCAGTGAATGACTTCTTTTAAACATTCACTTTGTTTTTATGTGTGTGCCTGATGAGTTTAGGATGTCTCTTTTTACATGCTTCAAATGAATTTAAAGGCACCATCTCTTGACTTTTAGTCAAGACAAGCAAGGTTCTGAAGCCAGCACGTAATCCCTAGCACAACTTTAAACAGTGGGTCAAGGGTTCTCAGACCAGGTATATTTACAATAGCAGTTGTGAAATTCACATTTTCAAAATTGTCATGAAACGTTAGTGAAATATCCCTCAAAGTCAACTCAGAAATATTACTTAAAGAACTTACTGTTTAGATTTATCTCTAAAATTTCACCTCTAAGTCTCAACATAGAGATTTCAAATTGCCTAGATTCATCATCAACCAAGATTCATAGGGAATGGTTTGACTGTCCCTTCCTTTTGGGCTCAAGGTTGCAAGAGGACATCAAGGTTCTCTACATTTTCATGGCATGAGGACAGAGTCCACCCCCTTGCCTAGACCTATTGGACCTGTTCACCATTTCTTATGCAAATTTTCTCTCCTGCAGTTCTTCTCCCTGGGTGTCACTCTCCTGGGTAAAATTTTAAATAGCATCATTTTATTCTAACCACTTCAGAAGACTTACTGTAGAAAGATGACCAGCCATGTAAATCAGACTCAATAAAATGGTCATTGAGCATTTCAGTAAATATTTATTAACCCTCTGCTGTGAGACAGGCTCCAGGGAACAAACACAGAGAAGTCGGACTCAACTTCTGTTTCAAAGTGCTTCCAGACCAGGGGGGGCCCCCGATCACCCCCATTTAATCATCCCACTGAACAATTCTAGACAACTTCACACCACTGCATGAGAATGGGCATCCAGGAAGGTTGAAGGAAAGATCACTTTTTCTCTCCCTCTCCCTCTGCTACTAAAGTGAATCTATTTGGTGCTGAACCCAGGGTAGAGATGAAAGACTGTTTAATTTATTCTCCTGGAATACAGACGATGAGATTAGAGAGCTAAAGTGGATTTGAGAGGACACAGGGCCCAGAGAGTCTGCTGTGTGTCCACAGAGTCTCAGAGAAAGCCGCCGCTGGCCAGCATGGAATGTCTGGGCAGCCTGGTTTCATGATCTGATCAATGTAAATGAATTTAAAGATACGATGAGCTGTCTATGAATGGTGCTGCCTTTATTTTTTTTGCAGACTAATCCAAGCTACAGCAGCCACATACTTACTGCAAAACCTTGGTAAATCCCTGAATTCTGTGGTACTTCTGAATAGCAAGATGAATGATCGGGGCAATTTCTGCACTCATTCCACATGCAGCTTCACGATAGTTTTGAGAAGTTGACTGGACAAAGCCTCTCTTCCTTTTCTCAGTGCATTCATTTGACTTGGCTTTTCCCTACAGCACCCTACCACACACTGTCGGCTGTTCCAGCAGTACACAGCACAAGGGAATTAATCTGTCTGCCTCTTCCCTTCTTTCTAACATCTCGAATTCAGAAAGAGAAAAAGGTGCCCTGGATTTTCACATCAATCCCATTTGGGTCAAAAATCTTACCTTCCTTCTTTCCCCCCATCTCTCCTTCAATGTTCCATTTCCCTGCTCCTTAGAAACCAGAAAACCAGTAATTACAGGCACACTTTGAATTTGTCTTTGCGCCCTCCTTCCAAGAAATTCCAAAGTGTTCACAGATGTTGCATCAAATTCTCCCAGTGTGCTTGCGAGGTCTTGAACATTACAAAGTTACGTTGGGAAAACGCACTGTTTTCAGACCCTGCACACTATCATTGGGGTAACAGACCCTCTAAGACTATCATTGGGGTACTGAAGTAGCAATTTATTGCCAAGCAAAAAAGAAAATATAGTCTCCAAAGCATTAATATTATACATAGCATGTATCCTGTTTGCTTAAAAAAATAGAAAAGGTTCTCATGACCCAATTTGTCTTTAAAAGCAAGACAGAGAGAAGATAACGTGAATAGGCCCCTTTTTATAAGTGGGAAACTGACAGCAAAGGAAAACTCTCAGGCTTGCTCAAGGTTATACTGAAAGTAGATGGCAGAGCAAGAATAGAACTCAAACGGATGGTTCCCAAATGTTTAGTCACCCAGGATTTCTTCAATTCTACCCATCACGGTCATACGTCTTATATTTGAAATAGTGTTGTCTTCCCTACTCCCCAAAGAATCCCACAAACCTTAATTATTAATCCATGTATCTTTGAAATAATTAATTTTACATTTTTAAGTAATTTTCTAATTGATGGTCTATAAATTTCCCAGCTAGTGCTTTTTGATAAGAACAACCATAACTAAACCAAGTTGCTATGATTCCAGGCAGCAGCAATGAAAGTGACAGCTTTGTTAGTCTAAGCAGCCTTTCTCTGGGCAGACATACTCTTTCTCTTCAGTTTTTTGAAATGCTGAAAATCAGCCCTGGTCATTCATTGCTCCCTTTTTGAAGTCCTTGGTTCCCAGAGCACCTAGATCAGGATCCACTGGACTTACAAATCCCATCACAGTGGTTCTGAGGCTTTTGCATCAGAATCACCTGGAAGGCTTGTTAAAACACAGATTCCTGGGTCCTGCTGGCAGAGTTTCTGATTCTCTGGGGCTGGGATGAGTCCCAAGATTGGGATTTCTAACACGTTCCCAGTTGATGCTGAGGATGCTGGTCTGGAGGCTGCACTTTGAGAATGCTGCACTAGCTGCGCCCCAAGTCTCTGGCTTTTTAATTCTCCCTTTTGGTCCTCTTAGTAGCAATGAACCTGGGATCCCTCCAAGCCTGCTGCTGAATGGTCCCATTAAGAGAAGTCAGGCCCTGCACCAGCCACAGCCCAACACCAGGTACAGCCCTGCTTCTGCTGCCGGAGTCACCCAACTCCAGGGACCCTACACTGTGCTGAGGCGTGACGCCCTTCACTGAGTTCTCCATGGCCCCACAACCCGTTTTCACCTTTTTCTGGGATCCTGCTAGAAGCACAAGGTTACAGTGGAGAGCAGAGGACTGCAGGAGGGCTGTTCTTATCTTGGGATCCTTTTTCTAAGTTCTAAGTAAGCAAATGTTTATATGCTCAGCTGACCCAAATTAGCCACAGCCGTGGGGACAGAAATAGGCATAGCCCACAACGAAACTCTGAGGCAAGAACACAAATTCCCTTGTGAGGGACCATTAATCTCCCTCCAGGGGGAAAGAGTTAGATGTGTGGCTGATTGAATTTACAACAGTATTTTAATTCAACGTCACATGGATTTTTTTTTAAGATTTAGAATCCAAATTCCTTTTCCATCTTAAATGTCAAAGTCCTTTAAATACAGAATTTTGCCATTTGATACTCCCCAGGCTGGCAGCAGAAGTGGTTTTTTATGCATTTTCCCAAAAGCCAACTGAGAAGTAGGGGGCACCATCGCTTTTGTTGGCCTTCGTGGGAGATGGTTAAAACCCACAATCTCTGTAGTCACTGAGAAGGCAAACCTCAACCCCAAGGCCATGGCAAGGATAGCTTTCCATGGTGTGACCTCAAGCCAGTGCCTCATATAACACCCCTTAACCTCCGAGGAGAAGAGCATGTGGTAAAATGCAGCATGTGGACCTCTTTGGCTGTCTTCCCAAGTCCTTGCTAAATGAAGATAGTTTCTTCCACCCTGTGGCAGAAGGTTCCAGAAGACCTTTGTGCTTCTGGCATCAGAGAACTGGACTGTGTGAATCATCTCACAGGGGAGTTATTAACACCAAGAAGTGACGAATTGTAGTTCTACGAAGCTGAGATACAGGAAATACAGTGTTTCTTAGAACAATTAATAAGCTTTGCTAATAAGAATTGAACAGCCTCAGAGACACGAGAACCCGATAAAGTCCTCCTAAATCCCAAGCCCAGTTAAAATCAATTGTGTTTGGAATGTGAGTGACATCTCAAGATCTATTCATACTATTCCCTTCAGGGAGTTTCTTGAGGAAAGGGCATGTTATTCTTTTCAACCACTTAATGAGGCCACACGAAGATCGATTCCTTTTCTGGGTTATGTAAGTAATTGAACTGCACCAATATACAATATCTAACTAAATGATTACCAGGAGACAGGACAGAGGTAAAGACCAATTGATACTGGTTGTATAGATCCACAGTGGCCCACTGGACTTCAAGCAGACTTTGTATCATAATCTGATTGCTTAGGGGGAAAGGGAGTTTCTTTGGAGAACTCCCTGGACATAAATTTCAACTGCGATCAAATGCCGGAAAAGGCAAGCCTTTTTAAGGATGATGACCAGACGCAACTCAAAGAAAATACATGAGCAACACAGGAGAGCTGATCTATTTCTCAGAATCACTGAGTCGGGAGAAATGGGAGAAAAGGGTCATCTAAAAAGGGAGATTTTGCAGAGAGGCTCATTTTAAGAGTGAAGAGCAGAAATCAAAGACAAGTGAAAAACAGTTTCTAGATCAGTAGTATTCAAGCAGCGTGTTCATTTTTTTTCACTATAAGAAGGAAAGCCTCTTAATCTTTGATCCAAGTGAGAAGGATGCCTGTCAACTATATTTGGCACAAGGAAGCCAGATGGGACAATTCTACATGTTCCTTCGGCAACATTGTTAATGTCAGGGTGAACAGGGAGATTTATAGAGAGTGTGACTTATTAACTCCCCAGGCAGCATTCTTAAAGAAGATACTATGGCCAGCTACCATTATGGTCTACGTCTATGTCTGCTTGATCTCCAGCAAGCCCTGCTGAAAACTGTTCACATTCAGCATGATCTTAAGGGCTGAGTGAGGCGTGCACACACACACACACACACACACACATACACATACACACACACACACACACACACATACACACACACTCTGATCTGGTCCGAAACCTAATTTTTGTGCTGGCCAAGATTTGGAAGAATACTTCGTTACCTGCAGCTTACGGTAGACAACTGTTACAGTCATAGTAAAATTCTGTATCACGTGATTCATCAAGTTGTCCAGACATTTAATTCGGGGGGGGAAGAAATCAATGCAGTTCTGTAACTACTTATCAACTTCATCACTTATCCTGAAAAGTGATTATTTGTGGCTCCTGATTGAGATTGTTCTAGATTAAGAAAATCAAGGCTAAATGTAGAAATTTTGCAAAATGATGGTCTGCTTCTTTGCTCAATCAAAGGAGTTTATTAAACCCCCATAAGAGGTGTGATGAAGTGGTGATGAGGAGGAGGCAGTGGGAAGAGAGTGAGGCTGGCATTCAGTCCAGGTTGTTCATGGCTGCCATGTGTTATGTACGACTAACCAGTGCCTCTGGCTACTGGTGGTTAATATTTTACATGTCACACCTTGAAAGAGGTTAGAGTTGTCACAGGACCTATGCTCCTAGCCCTAACTGATCCTGGGCAAGTCAATCTGTTTCTGTGGATCTCAGTTTCCCCATTCTGTTCAGGGTTGGAGTTAACTTCCCTGTCTCCAAGGCTCCTTCCAGCCCTCAAAGTTTGATTCTCTGCTTCTCACTCAACACCCTTGGTTGCATGTTCCTGACCTACCAGTCACACACTTTATCCAGAGTACAGTCCCTTCCCCCAGTGCACCGCCCCACCCCACAGACACAGACCACAGTCATCCCTGGGGCCTTTTGCACTCAAGGGCAGAGCAAAGTCAAAGAGGGTGTTAGTTACCCAAGATTACACCTCTCCCTCCAACCAGAGGGTTATTTCTGTTTTCAGTTTTCCACCACCACCTCTACTTCCTCCGGACCCTGGAATGCCCTGCCTCCATCACTTCTCTTCTTGTTGCACATCCTGCCTCTGCTACTCCCCCTGTTTGAGGCTTCGATTCCACTTCCTATCTCCTATGGCTTCAGGGCTGCTGGTATTCTCCAGGCCTGTCTTCTGTCATTGCTTGTAGCCTAATAAAGGCACGCACATCCATACTGTGCATAGCTCAGCAAGCACACCGGCAAAGCCTGCGATGCTGACCGAGGCCCTTAACCCAGCCTCCACTCATGTTTTTGTGTTTCTATTTCAGCATCGAAACGTCCAACGGAATTCCATGAGCAAAGAAAAAATTTGGATAGTGACAAGGTAATTTTCGCAAATTTCTTGATCCAAACTTAGACTCTAGGTTATGAATCTCTGAATGCTAACCCTTGCTGATGCGCGTACAGTTTCTACAACAAACTCAATCGATTTGCCAGTCCCCTGCCCTCATATCATATGGAATCTTGCTCCTATTAACTGATAGCTATAGAAATGGGATCAACTATATTAGTTTTGAAACTGCTATCTTTTAGCTTTTTTTTTTTAATGTCCCCAATCTTTCTAATGTTGGAAGAAATCACAGCATGGATGCCCTAGAATTGGCCAGACATGGTGGCTCACGCCTGTAATCCCAGCACATGGGGAGGCTGAGGCAGGTGAATCACAAGGTCAGGAGTTTGCAACCAGCCTGACCAACATGGTGAAACACCATCTCTACTAAAAATACAAAAATTAGCTGGGTGTGGTAGCATGCACCTGTAATCCCAGCTTCTCAGGAGGCTGAGTCAGGAGAATCGCTTGAACCTGGGATGTGGAGGTTTCCGTGAGCCGAGATTGTGCCACTACACTCCAGCCTGGGTGACAGAGCGAGACTCCGGCTCAAAAAAAAAAAAGATTCACTATAATCAAAAACACTTTAGAGAGGGAAGTGAAGTTGGCTTTCAAGCTGCCTTACCTTTCATTACTGCCATTTCTTAACAACAATCAGGTTTTTAAATATCCAATTCAATGGTAAGGCATGGTTTATGGTTACAGAACTTATTTGTAGCTACTTAAAGGCAAGAGGAATTATGCTTATTTTACATTTGAGGTGGACATTTGGTATATATTCTGTACTTTCATAACAAATCTCTGCAACCTGAATTTGTCAATAATATATTAATAGATACTGTTTAGCAAGTATCAACACTTTGAGTGAGAAAGAAAGGCAAAGAGAGCATCCTCCCCACCGGTGTTTCCTTGCCTGAGAGTACTAGTCTTGCAACTTGTCTGTGGATAGAGAGGAAGAGGAGGGATCTGTAACTCCTCAATGTAGCTCACAAGTGGCTGTGATTCCTACTACCGAGAAGAACAAAGAACAGCAGACTCTTTCATCAGAATTGAAGTGATTCCCAGACCCCTCTCAGGGGGCTGCTGGGAGATCCACTATAGTGAGATAAAAACCCAGAACTAGACATCAGAAACCTGGGGTCCAGTGTTGGCCCTCCCAGAGCCCGCGACTGGGTAAATAACCATGCCCTTCCGACATGTGGTGAGTCTGCATCTGCAGGCTTTACGTTTTTATGTGTCCTAAAAGAGAAGTCAGGCAAGTAACGGGAAAGAGGCATACATTGTCATGTTGTGTTAGATGGATTTAGGCAATGTTTTAGCTCTACTCTTGGTTACTTTTGTGACTATTTTCAGAGGAAATGGAGGCTGGGTGCTGTGGCTCATGCCTGTAATCCCAGCACTCTGGGAGGCTGAGGAGGGCAGATCGCTTGACTCCAGGAATTGAAGACTAGCCTAGGAAACATGGTGAAACCCTGTCTACTAAAAATAAAAAATTTTTTTTTAATTAGATGAGTTTGGTGGTGCACACCTGTAGTCCCAGCTACTCGTGGGACGAAGGCAAGAGGATCACTTGTGCCCAGGAGGCCGAGGCTGCCGTGAGCTATGATTTTGCATCAGCCTGGATGACAGAGACTCTGTCTCAAAAAAAAGAAAAAACAAAAAAAAAGCAATGGAATAGGATCGATTATAATACCAGCACCCTAGTATCCTAAGGGTTATAGGAGCATTTTATTAACATGTCCCAACCTGCCTATCCCTGAAAGAGCTTTAGGTTTGTAGCCCTGCCTTGGACCCAAGCTCTTTACCTTCTTATCTTATTTTCCCATCTACAAATGACTCGAGGGGTCTTTGTAAATATTCCTTCATCAAACTGTGGGACACCAAGAATATTTTCATGTTTCATTTATCATTTTAAAAGGTTATTTTCTCCTTTGAGATAAATCGAGTGTTTTTCAAAAGGTAAAACTGGGTGATTCTCTTTGTTTGGGTTCTACAGGCTAAAAATTCCCTGAAGCGGAAAGCCAGAAACAGGTGCAACAGTGCTGACTTGGTTAATATGCACATACTCCAAGGTAAGCCTGCAAGAAATCATAAACCAAGAGATGCTGTAGAACCCTGGGGTGTTTTCCCTGAGCTACCTGTCTCTGTACAGTTGCTAAGCCCTCTTAAAAATCTCCCTTGCCATTACAAAGTGGTAGTTTCAAGTAATCATCTAAGCCTTCTAGGCCATGTAGATAACCAAGTTGGGAAGCCATAAAACAGTTAAGCAGGTGAGAGACTCGGACTCTAATCTCAGCTGTGCCGTCTCCTACCTATAAGGCCTGGGCAAATCACATAACTTCTAAGAGTGCATGGAACACATCCAACATGTGCAGACAATTATTATTAATCTGGACTATCACTCACTTTGGAAGGGAATCACAGTTCCCTTGTTGCCTCTGTATCCTCCAGGTAACTGATTATGCTTTGCTGTTGCCTTTACCTTCAGGCATGCAGGGAATGACAATCTGAGAAAATTAGTGCTGATCAAAACAGGTCTAGTTCTGCCTTACAATGCCACCTCTGTGCTGGGGTGTGTGAGACAAAGCAGACACCTAATTGGTTCCCATATTCTGACATCTGGATTTAGGAGAAGAGGCTCCTGCTCCTGCCTCATGAGTTGCCTTCCCTGGGACAGAATCCCCCAGACCACTGGTGTGCACCCTAAAAGAGGTCCAACCCCTAATTTGACAGTTACCTATGGGATATTTATTCCTTGAACACACACTGTGTTGGGTGTCTGCTAGGAGTTGCCTCTTCTGCCAGGCCAGTGGATTCAACTATAAATAAGACACAGGTTTGTGCCCTCAGAGGGTCTCACAGTATAACAGAGGACATGAGAATCACATTTACAATTGTTATATGTAAAATGTTGATGCCGCAAAAGAAATAGCACTCGAATATAAATTCTCTCAGCAAGGCAATTTACGTCTATAGAAGCGTGCATCTCACGGATGGAGCAATGGTGAGTGCACACCTGAACAGGGGAGGGGAAGAGGTTCTTATCCCTGATGCAGCCCCTACTGCTGTGTTGTTCCCCTATTGGCTAGGGTTAGATTGCACAGTCAAAGCTAATTCCTACTGGTTATTTTAAAGAGAGCAGGGGTATGAGCCAGAGTGGTGGGTGAGTGGTTTAGCAGGAAAAACAGTTATGGAACAGGTAACTAAAGGTGACTCAGGTCAGAACAGGTGACGGGGGTGACTCAGGTCAAAGCAGGTGACTGGGATGAGTCAAGACTGAGCAGGCGACTGGAACAGGTGACCAGGATGAGTCAGGACAGAGCAGGGAATCGAGGGAATAGATGTGAACTACTGATTAGAACTGATGGAAGAGGTTGTTTACTGAAACTACAAGGAATTTAAACTTTAAAATGGAGGTCAAAAAATTGAACATACTGGCATACTTATTCTTTGAAGAGAAATTTAGAACTCATTGTATCCAACGCAGTCCAGCATGAAAAAAGAGGGAATGCATGGTGTGGTGGGTGCATGGAAGAGATCAGAGAAAAGAGCCATCTGAATCAGAACGAAAGGGGAGTGAGGATATGGGCTGGAATGTGAGGGCTGAGCCAGGTAGAAAAAGATGGAAGCGTGTCACAGTCTGAAGGAAGAGACTTCACAAGGCAGAGATCATGGCCTCCAGGTGGATGACTCGTTTGCATAATAAAAACTAGGGTGGGAAGACCAGTCTTTTCTCGGGCTGTGTAAATAGAACACCTGGTCAACCAATCCCCTGGGCCCTATGTAAATCAATCACTGCCTCCTCAAACATCGGTACAAAATCGATTGTTCTGCCACAAACCGGAGACCCTTCTTGGACTACCCGCTTTCTCAGCATGAGGAATCATTTTCTCTCTCTTCTTTTTCTACTAACCTTTCCGCTCCTAAACCCACTCTTCGTGTGTATCCGTGTCCTGAATTCTTTCTCAACCATGACAAAGAACCAGGGCATATACCCCAGACAACAGAGCCATTTCAATACCATAGAGCTATTACAAACAAGGCTTTCAAAGAGTGATTTCATGAGAAAAGATTTACAAGACAATGTTTCGTGAAAAGAGCAAAAAACAAAACTATATTTGCTGCCAAATTCTGGAAAGAAAAATTATATACTTAAACTATATTCATCGTCAGATTCTGGGAAGAAAAACAAACCTACCAATCAATGTAAATAACTAAGAAAGACACACAAGTCTTAAAAAATAGGTGACACTAAGTGGGGATTTTCCTGAAGCCTTCATTTTTTTTTGCACACCTTTTTAGCATTTTTCACATTTATGACAATGAGGGCACAGTAATGCTATAATCAAAAACATACAAAATGTTATTTCCTCCATCATTATGATCTTGAATTAAAATATCAGGGTGTGAACTGCACCAACCCCCATTAATTGCATGTCCCTGGTGCCTCTCATGGGATCCCCTTTTGTCAATAAGAAATTGGGAATTAGCTTCTTAGAGCATAAAAGATCTGCTAGATACAAAATGACTCCTGCTGCCCAGGAGTTTATTGTCCAATTTCAGAAGCAACAAGATGAAGCGTTCGTGCTTCTAACTGCTAGAGGCGGTCAAAGCAAAAGGGATCTGTAAGAACAGAAAGAGTTAGGAAAGCTTTATGCTGGGACCCAAAAGTAAGATGTTGGTAGTGGGGAGTGGGGAAGAAGTTTAAGGTGGGGAAAGGAAATAAACCAAGGTGCAAAGGTGAATTCAGCAAGACATGGAAGACAGAAGGATAAGGACCAGGCTCTCTGGAACAGTAGTTTTGGGCTGGAGAGCCACTGGTCATGATAGGTGGTAGATTACCTTTGTGGCAGTCTTGAAAAACTGGACTGAGAGACTTGGATGGTGGGAAGGATCTTGCGTGGAGGCATAAGAAGAAAGGAGGGCTTTCTGAAGATCAGTCCTGAGTTGGCACACAGGATGGGTCAGAAAGATCGCTGAGGCAGAGAGCTAGCAAGCTGCCCTCACAAGGAACTGTAAGGGGTGTTTTGGCGATGACATGGGCTTTGGAATGCTCATTGTTTGGTTTGGAGTATTGACATTCCCTCCATTTAATGTGAAATGCTTAGAAGAGGCAGCTTCCACAGCTAAACCTGTGGCAACCGATGAGACATCCCTAGACCTCTTCTGTATGGAGAGTTCTAGATCAGTGCCAGACACAGGGTCTGGGTTAGCAGGTTGATAATAATGGAGCTGAGAGACTTGTTTGTAAATATATCACTTTCTAGGTTTATGAAGTTGAAAGTAAAGCTGCAAACGCTTATAGAATCTTCACTTAAGTTCTCCATGAGAGCAGTAAGTTGGCTGGATTCTCCTCTGAGTTCTTCCACAGAAATAAGCCAGGGCCCAACCTAAAAAGGAAGTTTGATATCAGCTGTATCGAAGTGGACTTAAGGCTCTGTCCGTGACCTTTCACACCCTCCAAATGATGAGAAACTGCCTGGAGATGAATTCAACTTTCAAAAATCCCTCTGTTTAATTAAATAACTATTTCAATGGAATTTTTTTTCCTTTTACAACTGACCTGGACATTTGACTCAGTCGGTCACAGCATTGACTAGTCCAAAACCCTTTAAAAGTCATACTGGAACTACTAATTACAACAACAGATAACATTTACTGCGGGCCCAGCCCGTACCAGTCACTATGAAGATCAAATGTGTGTCCGAGGGCCATAGCTTAGGGTCAGGCAAAAAACAAAGGCCCTGCACACTGCTTGCTTACAAAAATCTCCAAATTGCAAATTTTTCCACAAATCCTCACAAAGCAATCTTCTCCAGTTTTTCAACATGCCTCTCTATTTGCCTTTATTTGGAAGCGTCTAGGCTTTGGTGCTAACCCCTGTAAAGTGATGATGATTGCAATGAAAAATTATTAGGATGGTAGAGCACAATGTGACACAATCTTTTGTAACCACAAGCCAAAAAAACAAAAAAGAGAGAGGGAGAAAGACAGCAAATTCTAGAACTGATCCTTTTCCTTTCAACCCTTTAGCTTCCACTGCAGAGAGGTCCATTCCAACTGCTCAGATGAAGCTGAAAAGAGCCCGACTTGCTGATGATCTCAATGAAAAAATTGCTCTACGACCAGGGCCACTGGAACTGGTGGAAAAAAACATTCTTCCTGTGGATTCTGCTGTGAAAGAGGCCATAAAAGGTAGTTAGAACAAATGGCATGTCTCCTTGGTGCTCTTGAGATCTGAGGGCAGCCTGGAGCTCTGACATACTAGGACCTTTGGGGATGAGAGCCTCTCACCAGACAAGAGCCATACTATGGGTTGTTAGTTCAGTTGATTCTCCATAGCCAGAGATTCTGGGCGTTTCTTGCAATCCCTATTCATGTACCCTGCAAGACCAAGTCAACACAGGCTAATTTTGCTCTAGTCAGGCAAGTTGAGAACTTGACTGGGTGTAATCCTTAAAACATCTTCCCCACAAGATGTCCATCACTTAGGAGTCATAGTCACGGTCCTCTTCAGCCTTCCTCATGTATGTATGTATTTATTTATTTATTTTGAGATGGAGTTTCGCTCTTGTTGCCCAGGTTGGAGTGCAATGCCACAATCTCGGCTCACCACAACCTCCACCTCCCTGGTTCAAGCGATTCTCCTGCCTCAGCCTCCAAGTAGCTTGGATTACAGGCATGCACCACCAAACTCAGCTAATTTTGTGTTTTTAGTAGAGACAGGGTTTCTCTATGTTGGTCAGGCTGGTCTCGAACTCCCGACCTCAGGTGATCCACCTGCCTCGATCTCCCAAAGTGCTGAGATTACAAGTATGAGCCACTTTGCCCAACCAAAGTCTTCCTTGTTTAAAGAGAGGTGGACTGTAATAGCAGGAAGAGCCCTGGCCCCAGGCTAGAAAACTTAGATCCCAAGCCCAGGTGCCCAAGTCACCTCACCTCGAGATGGAGATGATAACATACACCCTGCCCAGCTTACAGGCTCCTGGGAGTGAAGTTCATGGTAAACAATGCAGGTAAAAGCTCAGAAAGCTCTCGCTTGACCCGAGAAGTCAAAGGACAAGTATTCAAAAAGGAGACACAAATATTGATTCTGTCATAAACTGTATAAAATCATTTAGTAGACTTTTTGAAAATTGATAGTAGGGGGACCCAAACAGCCTGCCAGTACTGAATTCACTCATAGAGGTTTTGGGGTGGAACCCAGGAAAACTGTGGTAACAGGGAGAAAGGGGAGATTAACCTTCCCACAGGCACATTTATTTTCTGCAGCTCTGCCCACAATCCGCTCTGAGAACTATTGGTAGATATTAATAAGCAGTGTATATTTAAATGTTTTGACACACTGTCAAAAAATATGTCTAAGGGCATTTTATCCAAAACTAACTTTATTATAAAACTTGTCATCAAGTTTATTCACATTCTAAAATCTTGCTCTCACCCAGTGATTCGGAGGCCACATGAATTTTGCCTTTGGAACCCGTAAATATGAAAATATCAACTCCAGGAGAGGCAATATCCTCGTCCATCAGTGCCCACTTATATATCTCACTGTGATTTTCTCTCTATTCTCTCTCCCTCTCCACTAAATATCCTGTGCCTTTGAACTTGGCCTTGAGTATTCAAGGGTGCACTGCCTCCATCTTCACTCTCATGAGCTCTTGGGCAGATAAAAATCTTCATTGGGCATCTCTTATTGTTTCTTAAAATATTCTGTCCCGTGCATGTAAGTTTATTTATTTACTTTTCTTTTGTTGCGTGCATGTATATTTATGGTTTACTTTTACATGATAGGCAAAAGATCTCTTTTTAATTTGCATTCTTTGGTTTCTAGTGAGATTATATTTTTCCTTGTGGTTATGCATCATTGGCAATACGTGGTTTTTCCCTCTTCCTTCCTGCTGAGCGTGCTTTTGCTTTACTGCTTTGTGTATGCTATTTATATAGGAAAAACATGCTACTCCTCCATCTGTCACAGGATTCACATCCTTTTGCCAACATGTCCTTTACCTTTTGATTTTTTGGTATAGTGTAATTTACCTATAGCGGTTCCTAATTATTGCATAGTCAAATCCACTTATCTTTTTCATTATATTTTCTGAATTCATTTTTATTGAAAATATTTCCTAATTCAAAAATATAGAGTTTATTCACTTAGATTGTCTTGTAATATATATATACTTTTATGTTTACATTTAAATCCTTAGTGTGTCTCAAACTATTATAGTGCTTGGTTTAAGAGAAAGGTCTAATTTTATGCTTTTCACAGTTTTATGATCTATTTTACAATTTGCGTTCATATCGATCTTCCCGAGTTTCTTTACATTTGTCCGATTTTTTCTAATGTTTAATAGCTACTCTTGCAAGTATGTCTTAAGTGAAAATTAGCCTCAATATTTTGTGTCAACTTCAATTCTATTGCAATTTTCTTCAGAATCGCAGTGAATTTATAGGTTAATTTATGGTGAATTTATGTTTAAAATATATAAGTATGTAAATTCTTCCATAGTACCTTTCTCCACTTATTCAAGTCTTTTTTAATTTCCCTTTGTAAAGTTTGTTGTTTTTAAGTAAAGTCATATTGGTTATTGCTGACATATGGGAAACTTATTAATTTCACACATTTATTTTATAACTGGGCAGTATCAAAGCTCTTCTTAATAGTTCCAATAGTTTCTCAGTTTATCATAAGTTGTCTAGGTCTAAAGGAATAAAAGTTAGTTTAATGCCTCATTTTTATGTTCTGCCTTGGTTCACTGGCTGGTACTTGAAAAGCAACATGAGTAGCATATTATAAAATTAATATAATTTCTAAAAGTTTATGTAATATATTAATAAAATAAATTACATATAACGTTTATGTATTTTATTTCTGAATATATTATATATTATTTATAAATTATATATTATAAAGTATAATATACTATATATTATACAATCCAAATAATATATATCTTATATAAAATATCTATATCATATAGATGTTTATCTTACATATAAAATTATGAATTATATAAAGCTTATTTAATAAATAACGTTATATAACATAAATTATATTAAGTTTATATTAAACAAGTGTTACTATATAATTTAATAATTACTTGTATATTACATAGCAGAATACTATTATTGTTGGTACCTTGCCAGTGCCTCAAAGGCAATACTATATTATATTTATTATATTATACTAATGTTGCCTTATGTTTTATGTTATGTGATAATGTGCTAGGTTGATGATTACATACATTTTTGTTTTGTTTCTCTCTTAAATGGGGATTTCTCTAGTCATTCACATCTGTATATGATGTAGCCTTTGGTAAAGGAAAGATATGCTAAGGAAATATTTCTCTATTCCTGTCCCACTAAGAGTATTTTGCAAGACGGATGTTGAGTTTTTTAAATGCTTTCAAAGCATATGAAAAGATGATGATGTGGCTTTTCTTCTTTGACCACGTAATGTGGTATTTTCACCTTTCCTAATCTTCCTTGAATTTCTAGGGGGAAAAAAAATCTCTTATCAATTCGGTTTCAGAAATTGCTAGTATTTTCTTTGGGATCGTGCATCTATTTTGTTATTAGTTGAGATAACACTAGCTGGAAAACAAACCGCAAAACTTCAACAGCTTGACGAGAAAGGTGTATTTCTTGCTTGGAAAGAGTTCAGAGAGGCATTTCCTCCATGAAAAGCCTCCTTCAGTCTTGCTGCGCCACTATTCCCTACAGCGAGGGTGGCACTTTTTCTTAAGGGAGCAGATAATACATACTTGAGACTATCTCTGTCACTACTCAACTCTGATGTAGCAGGAAGGTTGCCATGGGCAGTAAGTAAACAAATAGGCATGACTATGTTCCAATAAAACTTTATTTACAAAAACAGGCAGGCACACAGGCCTTAGTTTGTCAATCTCTGCCCTAGAGCTTTGTCATCCTCTGAATGTATCCGGCAAAGGGGCAAGAAGGGATAAGAGGGTTCATCCACTTATTAAAAAGTCTCCACCTGGAAATGAACACATCACTGGCACTCACATTCCATTGTGAGAATAGTACATACAGCTGAGAAAGGTATTCTCTGGCTAAACAGCCATTTCCAGCAGTGCCTCTATATTATGGAAGAGGGACCCTGGCTTTTGATAAGTAGCTAGTCCTGTCTGCCACAATATTCATAAATGATGCTGGTCTATGACATTGTTGTTTTCGTTTTTCAGATTTAAATGTCAAAGTTGTAAATACTTCACAAAATAGTTTATAATTACCTATTCATATTTTTTCATGTCCTGGAAGCATTTAAATACGATCACAATGATTGGTTGCTTAAAAACATTGCTTACTGAAATCACAGACAACCAAGGAAATTAAGAAACCAGTACCTTTCCCAGAAGTAGTTCTTTGAAAAGTTTTTTTTCAATTTTGTCCATAATTATTTGTGCACTCAAATTTTCTCTTTAATTTGTACAACTTCCGAGATCACGCCATTGCACTCCAGCCTGGGTAATAAGAGCAAACCTCCATCTCAAAAAAAAAAAAAAAATTGTAAAACTTACCTATTACTAAAAATTCTCACCCCTTCCTGAATTTTAAAGTTATTAGCCTCAGGTAGTATATAGTATTGGCTCCCAATTGTTCTAAGTGTCTGTAAACCTGGGGGTAGACTTCAGTTTTTCATTCTAAACGCTGTATGTTTATATATTCTCTTCCTTCCTCCCTCTCTTATTATTACACTAGCTAGACGTTTTTAATCAATTATTATGAAGAAACAACTCGTGATTTTATTCATAAATTTTGTTGGTTGCATATCTTTTCTCTAATTCAAGTTTGCTTTTTTCAATCAAGGTGGTTAAGGAGGAAAATCTCCACAAGGAGAATGAGGTTTAGGAATATTAATCTGGCTGCGGGTGCATGGGAAGGAAGGTAGAGGGAATTTTTTAAAATTATGGGCTAGGAGCAGTGACTCATGCCTGTAATTCCAGCACTTTGGGAGGCCAAGGTGGGCTGATCACTTGAGGTCAGGAGTTCGAGACCAGCCTGGCCAACAAGGTGAAATCCCCTCTCTACTAAAAATACAAAACAGCCGGGCATGGTGATGCACGCCTGTAGACCCAGCTGCTTAGGAGGTTGAGGCACAAGAATTGCTTGAACCCAGGAGGTGGAGCTTGCAGTGAGCTGAGATTGTGCCACTGCCCTCCAGCCTAGGTGAC